TTGGTTTCTCCACTCTAAGCTTTCAAACAAAGTTATTTTTCCTAGACCTGCTCTACTTTAGCTAGAGCCTGGTTATTTTCGAAAATGACGTACCGGTTTTCGTAAAACTGAATTAGTTTTTTGCCGTCTTAAATCTTGTCAAAGAATGAAAGTGGTGATACATTAATAATTTGGTTACAGTCAGACTGACTTAGTTGTGTTGCTATCTAATCCCTACTTATGTCTAGTAACAACACCGCTACCTACCTAGGATAATTCCTACAAAGTTCCTTTTTCGTGACCTCATCGGAACAAATATATAGTTCCACAAAATGAAAACTTTAGTTGTTCCATCTTGCGCGTTTTCTTGGTTTTACAGCGTCAGTCAGATGTGACGATTGTTGCTGGGACATTGCCGAATAAGATGGCACCTGCATTTAGAAAGGTAGGACAATGCAGTGTTCAACACAGACTTAAATTCAGGACATTTTTAGGAAATTATACAACTACTAGGGCAAAATCTTAACGAAGGCCTGTTCGCCATCGATTCATCAGTTTTGCATTGTACACTTTTACTGCGCATATCAATAACAAATTCTAGCTAATATATTTAAAGTAATAAAGAAAGAGTGAGATGTTTTTAATTGGGTCTAATAAAAAGCAAAGGGCGTATTGGGGTCAGTTTCTCAGTAGTTACATAGTTATAAAATGTCCTGCTTAAAGCACCAGGCTTCTTGGGTAGGCTTCGTTGTGCCTACCCAAGCAACCAATTTTAAGGTGCGCTGATCTACAGTGACTGTATGTGTTATTGGATGAGTTGAAAATGCAAAATTTCAAATCCAATTTAAAAATGAGGTGTTGCCAGGGTGCAATACATATACTGCTCTCACCCAATCAGAATTCAGTAATTTTGTCATATATATAATATGAGAACTTTGCATTTACTGTTGTGTCGCCATACTGTATATTGTACATCAGTGTTAGGACTTCACCTGATATCCCGTATCATCATGTGACCAAAATAAAGCAATGTGATTGGTCAACTTCCAATATTACTGTTCATTGAATTACTAATTAGTTTGAAATAGTATGGTGAGTATGAGATGTCATTTCAAAACTTCAAGCTGACTGTGGACCAAATTTCAAGTCCAGTAGTCTTCGTCTTCGCCTCAGACATCAAACAAACTGCTCCGACGTAAAATCTCCTCCAGTAGTCTTCCTTTTCAAATATATATATATATATATATATATATATATATATATATATATATATATATATATATATATATATATATATATATATATATATATATATATATAGTCCAAGGATCTTTTTCGCGACAAGAATATATACTATATATAAAAGATATCTATGATATATACCAAATGGAAACACTACGTGATTTTTGTGGTGTTACTCTGAGTCTATATCCACACCGGGCGAGCTTGAAAAATATGCCCGGCCACGGTGGGATTCGAACCTACGACCTTTGAAATACTAGCCCAATGCTCTTCCAACTTTCCCTTCATTGGGAAAGCCCAATGCTCTTCCAACTTTCACTTCCTTTCTCTTCATTGGTATCGAAGGAATAGCCCAATGCTCTTCCAACTTTCCCTTCCTTTCTCTTCATTGGTATCGAAGGAACTACGTGATAGGATAGCCCAATGCTCTTCCAACTTTCCCTTTCCAACATCATTGGATAGCCCAATGCTCTTCCAATGCTCTTCCAATGCTCTTCCAATTATCACATAATTTATATCTTACGACTTTTTAATTATTAATCAATGCTTTTTCGTTGGATATAGAAAAATATATCTATTTACGGAATTCAATACTTTAATTAAGTGTTCCATTTATTTTATTCGGACACATGCATGCAGTGCATGTAATGCCTTATACTGCTTTGCACTGTACATGTTTTAAACTCGAAATTGAATATCACTGTAGTCTGATCTGTTTGCAACTGATGGCGTAGCCATGCAGACCTTCATTTTTTTTGGAGGGTGGCTGGGGGGGGGGAGGGGTGAAGCGAATGCCGAAGGCGTGAGAGTGCCTAGTGGGGTACGGGGGCATACACCACCGGAAAAAGTCTGAAATCTAGAGTCCCTGAAATGCGATTTCAAGCATTTTGGGAATGAAATCTTGCAGAATTCCGAAGATTATATTAAAGTAGATCGAAGACATGAATTTTCCCAGACATTTATACTCGGAATTAAATAAATTGGAAATGTTACCTTGAAAAACAAGAGGAGGGGTCAGTGTCACCTTTTTCACCCTTTGTGACGCTGAGAAGGGGGGGGGGGAGAAAATCCCAATGCGATTTTGATCAGAAATGTTGCATTTAAATAATTCTAAGTTCTATGAGACAACATTTCTGCATTCTCAAAATTGCGTTTCAAGAGGCTCTAGATGGGGGGTGTCTGAAAACCAGTAAACAGTAAAAATTGTGGTATTTTAACGGTAACAATAAGTAAAATTTTGGTATTTTAACGGTAAATCTTTGGAAAGTGTTCTGAAACGTCAAACAGTATTTTTTTCCTCACGATTCACGCTAAATTTTTAGTGTTTTCACGACTGACAGTAACCGAAATTGAGTGAATCACGACTCACGATATGCCCCATCAATACCCTCTTTCAAGACGTACTTAGCCAGTTTCAGCTTTAAGCATGTAATGTGTACCCCCTCCGCCCCCCCCCCTCCAATTTCCCTACATATTTAGCCTTTTTGAGAAAATGGTTTTTCTGGCGATTGGGGGGCGGTCGCCCCCTCGCCTATACGCCACTGTCTGTTTGCCACCATGCAGCAAAAATACATTAAGTGCCTGTGGAGTGTGGAAATATGGTTATACATATACTTTATCATTTCGGACTTGGACTCGGACTTGAATGTATAGGACTCGAAGTCGGACTTGGACTCGTAAGTTGTGGACTCGACTACAACACTGACTACGGCATTATGCAGTGAATCTGACGGGGGGGTCAACCTCAAATGTATTGATGCTTATGCTGTACTGGAGTGAGAAATGATACGAAATTCCATGTATTTGGCACCAAACACAAGGCTAATCGACTCACTCTGATAACTATATTTTGTTTTAGACTTCACCCTCCGTCACTTCTGTGACGTCATATGAAACCCAAGAATATAAGGAAAGACATTGGCTTGATAGCTGATTTAACACTTCGCGATCCGAAGATATTTTGACAGACTTCAAAATCTCGTCATGCATGTTAGAAATATTCTGGCTTCTTCAAAATTGACTGATTGAATTCCAAACCCATCAGATAATTATCTTTATATTGTTTTCTTTAAGTAAGAGTTAATTGCTATAAGGACGTCAAACTGTTTTCCTTTCTCCGCATGCCAGTGTAATACAAATTCCGGGCTTCTCAGTATGACACAACTATGCTTTGAAAAATAAAACAAACTTAGACAAACCAAAACAGCAGGTTAAATTTTAACCTAGGGTTAGCGCTAAGCAAGCTTTGAACAACCGGCCTCAGGGTTAAACCTTCAAACCACGACTAGCACTAAACCTGCATGGTTTTAAAATTTAACCTGGTGTTTTGATCTGTGTATTTGCGCAAGTCTTTACATTTCCAAACTTCAGAAATTAAAACTTCTAATGATCCAGAAATAAATTCTAAACCTTCTAATTTCCGTTTATATAAACAATCTGTTGCGAAGTGTGGTTTAACGCAGGATTACTGTAGACATAGTGTAAGCTAAACAGGTTTCGAACAACCATCCCTAGAGCCAGTAGAGGCTGTAGACGAAAGACTCAGATCGTGCTCGAAAGGTTCTTTCATTTTCGGGTAGTTGCATCATACAGAAAACCATCAGAAAAACACTATTCGTCATTCAAATTTTATAATTTAAGGAAAATTTTAATTTGCTCATAAGGACGTCATGCAAACTGTTTTCTCTTCTTTATATTTGTATTATAATACCAATTAACTGAATAAAATATTCGAGGAACCAAAAACAACATGGTTTCTGTGGGAAAATATTTTGTCTGTTTCATAAAACTATATCGGAACTAAAACGTTCGCAGCGAAAGCATTTTATCACTACATCAAGCATTCGATTTATTAATGTTCAAGGATAACGAGTAACGTAAGAAAAGTTCTGTTTTTAATATTTTCATGAAGACAAACCACCTATATTCTATAATTTACAATAACTGCCTACGCGCCTTTGTTTCCAAAGCGGAACATGTACACTTCAATGATTTTATACGAAAACAACATCATAAATTGAAATGCATGGAAATGGTGACAAAAATTGGTCGAGTTACTCGCTATATATCTGTATGAGCTCATATATACGGCGAGTAGCGAAAAACAGGATGGCGACACATAAACTACAAGAGTTTTGTGAAGACGAGAAAAGGAAAAGATTCTCTTCATTTCACTTCGACTTTTCAAATAAAAACATTTGAAATCTTGAGCATGCAATTGTGGCCAAGTTAGCGGCGCGGTTTTTGGCCTAACAAATAGTCAAAACATTGCAACAGAGAAGAATACATTTGTTGCTGCAGTTAGTTAATCAATGGCTATATTAATATAATGCAATTATGATTTATGGCCTATAGCCGTAGCTTTTGCTCTCGTCGTGGCATAATTGTTGCATATGCCGCATACATGGTTTGTGGTTTGTATATACGGTCTGCATGTCGCTCCTTGGTACAGTTAATATTAAAGTCTTCGACAGTATATGCCTCTGACCCTGACTAAGATATAGTTTGAACCACAGTATATATGTATATTATTATATTATAGCAATCCATGCTTAATTTCTACCAAACACTATAAAATTTTGAAATATATATAGTCAGTATCTGTGTTGAAAACACATTATCTGTGTATCATGGATATGCGGTGTATATATAATTCCAATAGAGATATCTCGTTTCATTGAACTCCAAATATTGAAATTAATTTTGTGGTAATCGGTTCCTTATATTGTCCCAAGACCAAGTGCAATCGTTTTGAATCGATTTTAGATCAAAATCTTCGAGCAACTGCTTTACTTCAAAATTTCGTTGTCTGACCCAGGAAGGACCAGCAGTCTTCCAATACTCCACAATCTTTCCAACGCAATGCTCCGACAATTCATGCATTCTTCTGCGATGGTCATGATGTATACTGTCCTTTGGATTGTTGAAGACGCGTGAATTAATTTCAAATTTCTCAACTTTCGACTCTCCATTTCGTACTGCGAAACCTTCGCCAACGACATTCGCTTTCGTCACAGATTCACCAAAGGCATTTCTATAGACAGCTCCGTGAACTTGACCAGGCTCTTTCATCCATTTCTTAACATTTTCTGAATCTGTGTCTTGAATGACGATATATCCAGACTTACAGTGAGTGTTGTTGGCGGTTCTCCATTCTGACTTGCCGTTGTATTGGTAAATAATGATTCCACCATAGTCGTGGCCAGGTTGGCACGTGTCAGATTTGCACGAAATATGCATCGTTTCGACCTCGATACGTCCTTCACTAGTTTCGCCTATGATGATGCTGTCATTCGCAGGCGATACGATAAAGCAACCAGCATAAAAAGCACTTGCAGCTATTTCTGTACGTATAACGTGATCAGGGTTCGGAAAAGCAGTAGGCCTACATACTCTTAATTTCCCTGTTCGTGGGTCGAATACTAATTCACTTCCAGTTGGGTTAGTTGCCGAATGCTGTGGATAATCCATAACACCTCGCGTTTATATTCGTTAAAATACAGCGACAGCTTGCGTGTCGACTTTAAGAGAGACTTGTGCATCAGTGAGTCAGAACTTGAAAGCTCTCATTAATAATTCATAAAATTATTGGCAAATCATGTCAATGATAATATGTCACGTGCAGTGGCTTTGAACCTGATAAAACACTCCTAATTAGTATTCTTTATATAAAGAATACTAATAAGGCAGTATCTATTGAATTTGTAGTCTTGTTTGAAGTACTCTTTAATATAAACGAGCAGGAGTGTTTTATTAGGTCTAAAGCCACTCGCGCCGCGCGCTCGAGGTTTTAAACCTAACAAAACACTCCTGCTCGTTTAATAAGCAGCTAGTACTTAATGATATGTGGATTCTGGAAAGAGTTAAACGATAATTATGCAAACGTAACGTTATTTGCTGCCAAGCGCAACGATGCAGCACACTATTCACGACACTGATGACGTTTCTCGCTCTCTCTAGTTCATGCACTCTACCCAGTCTATCGCGCGATCTATATATATATATATATATATATATATATATATATATATATATATATATATATATATATATATATATATATATATATATATATATATATTATCGTCATTTGTAAATGGTATCCGAACAACCGAACGACTCCTAGCTAGTTTAGTAATCCTATCCGAACAATTCCTAGTTTAGTAAATGGTGTCCAAACGACTCCTAGTTTATAGTAATTCTACGCGAACGATTCCTAATTCAGTAAATGGTATCCGAACGACTCCTAGTTTAGTAATCCTATGCGAATGATTCCTAGTTTAGCAAATGATATCCGAACGACGCCTAGTTTAGTAATCCTATCCGAACGATTCCTAGTTTAGTAAATGGTATCCGAAGGACTCCTAGTTTAGTAATCCTATCCGAACGATTCCTAGTTTAGTAAATGGTACTAACGCGTTTGAATCGTGAGAAATGAAAGTGATATATCGTCTTGTTCACAGGAGTCAAAATTTACACTACTCCCGCTGTTCCGTATACAGTAAAATTCGTGACAAACTTCATGATCTCGATATTCTGTTTGTGTCATAGAAAAAAGTGCACTGTGATATCATTTTATAGTATTAGTACGGTATAATTTTACTGCTATATTTTACGTTGTAGTTGACTTTTTGTTCGCTGTTTTGCTGTGCTAGTTCTCAAATGTTCTACTGGCAGCCCTCGTCCTGTCGTCAAAAACTGCAGTTACGAGTTAATATAACAGTCAATTATAAAATTTGCTAATCCGGTTTGTATGTAGTAGAAACTAATGTAAATTTCAATCTCCGGTTCGTGGTCACATGTTGCCTGGACTCAGATTAAAAATATTCATATCAAAGAATTCAACTAATATAAGTTATCCGTTTCTGAGACTACGTGGAAAACTTAATTCACGATTAATCTGCGATTATAATTAAATGGAAAACCTCACGATTAAGGGACCAGTCATAAAGTACTGTAACTGATGGGCCGGAGGAAATAAGGATAGGCCATGAAATTATTTTCCTCAGGTTGGGTGGGCCATCAATTTATTTTTTGTGCAAATGGATGGAGCCTGTTTGCACTCAATACATACTATGACTACTACACAAGTTATGAGAAAGTGACTCAGTGCATGGCTTGATCAAAGTGACTGCTATGGTGCTATACTGTACATATTCATGTGTAGCAGGATGGGTCGTGAACGTTTTCCAATGACCTACAATGGGCTTTGAATTTTTTTTCTGGGTTCTCAGAATGGGTCACCAGGTTTGTTTTTAGAAAACCTATTTTTCCCCCTGGCCCACAGTTACTTTATAGTCTGTCCCCAATTTAGTTGACAGCCCATTTTGCCAACAATATGTTGTTTATTACAATCATTAATTCAGTTGATATATGCTATGTGTTCTGTCGTGTGTGTTGTGTACTGTGTTGTGTACTCTTATCCTCTGTGTAACAAAAAATAATAAAGATGCACATGAAATATTGATAATACGAAAATTCGTTCGGCTCCCAATGGTAATTGATCTGCTCGAATTCGTTCGGTTAATGCGTCCCATGTGATTGTGAAGGTACGATGCGATTGTACTGTCATTAATCCACAATTACAGAATTAGAAATTATTAGACTGAAATGTTCTTCGCCCCCCCCCCCCCCCCCTATATTTCGTGGTATGACAACGCTAACTTTAGCGGACGTTTCGGATTTCTATTCTGGATGAAATCACTATCCCGAGTATCCTGTCATTTTAATCCACTAGTATATTTGTCTGATCAAAATAACCGGTTGTCTCCCTGGACTCATGCACTTAAGGTAGCGACTCCAATATTCTGACATATCCAAATAAGGTAAAATAATCGAGAACGTTTTATAAAATTAAAAATTCCAACTTTTTGTCCAACTCTAAAATTCAGATTTTGTCCTTTGAGGACATTTTCATTTATCTGCGTAAGCTTCCTCCGCATTTGAAGTATTTTTGAAAATCAGACCAATAAACAGTTGAATACTCACCATGGCGAGTTGTGGTTATGACTTAGTCAAAAAGTTATCCGTGTATCTATAGTTAAACACAGAAAAAAAATGTTATCTATTTATTAGGTGTGCATCAGTGAAACAAATACAATATTCTTATTTTCTTCCTTAATTACCAATTACTATTTCTATGCCTGACAAATGCTTTGTCTTCAAACAGCATTATACCATATGAAGCGAGACGAAATGCAGTAACAATTTATATTCCAGTGAAGAAACAAGGAATTAAGGCTAAATAATGCAGCTGGTAGATAGTTCATTGAACAAAACCTCCTCTCCCTAATTTGTTGTGTAAGAACGCGTATACGTTTAGTGGTGCTAATTAGGCACAACAAATTTGGGTCAGGAATGGACTTATCGAAAAGGGGTGTAAGATGGTGCACACATCAGCTAGCTTTGGCGAAGGGAACTGCAAGACTAAGAGAGTGCCAATTCCCATTTCAAATCTATTTAGGCAATCGCAGTAACAGAAATGAAATATTGTAACTTGAGTGTGAAATTGTCAAAGTTGATTCCGAATTAATATTTGGTTCATAGAGTTCATTGTGGTGGATTTTGCTGGACGACGGTAAATATTTAAGGAAATGCATGCGACCATGTTAAGGGATATTGTTTGCTAAATATAATTACACTATCAGTTGTTGGTCCTGCTGCTGTTGTTGTTATTGTTGTTGTCAGTAAAATCAGTGATATGTTTGCAGCTTGATAATTAGTAATTTGTGTGATTTGCTTATGCAATCTGCTAAACTCCGCTCCGCGACGCAAAAATTGCGCCGGGTTTTATTCATAGTCAGCGGTTCTTCGAATGGCAGTCTATATTAAAGTATATAGTTGAATTCGCTCAACAAGAAGCACGGAGAATGATTCATATAAACATATGTCTACAAGAACAGGTAATAATACACAAATATCATTCTTACGAATACACAAAATTCAATCTGCTGTGCTCTTAGACTTAACCAGTTTCACGCCGTCCAGCTGTCATCTTAGAATTTGGACGACCACTTGAACAAGACGAGTTTTGGACAGCCAATTATCGTATTTACACCTTTCTGACAGGTTGTAAATATCTGCGGTTGTACGTTGTACTCTATGGTTTCAATTAGCAAGCAGCACTGGTAATGATCATACAGAATAGGTCTATATATATAGTAAAATCTTGTGATTGGTTTCTGCCATTGACAATGGCATTGTCCTAGAAATTTTGTCATTCCTTTCAATCAATGACAGTCAAATTGGAGGAAATTCTAATAAATTAGTTTGTTATAAGCTAATACCGAAATGTGATCTATCACGCACCTGAATTCTATATTAATTTATTTCTATTATACTATATTATTATTTTATTTAGACTTAAGAGAGCAAGTATATAGCGTAAATATTTATTTCTCAAAAACAGCGTCATTGCGCTAAAGATTGCTTTTTCTTTAAAACAGTCTTGTACTATTTCAAACTTATTAGTAATTCAATGAACAGTAAGATTGGAAGTTGGCCAATCATATTGCTTTGTTTTGGTCACATGATGATACGGGATATCAGGAGAAGTCCTAACACTGAACATTCTCGTCCCCAGAGTCATTTTCACTCGTTGAAAATTAGGCTCTGGGTTAGAAGACTAAAGAGAGAAATCTGATTGGCTTCTCAGAGAACTGCTATTTCGCAGAAGTTGAGCAGTTTCGCTAGGCTAATTCACTGTGAAAATTGTTACGGGTGCGAAAGCGTCCCAATTCAAGTGTCCCGGGCCTAGGGAGGACGCGCGCGGCCAAGAGGCCCTGGCGACGAGGATGAACACTGAATCCGAAGCAATCTCGTTCCGCGAGCCTGCGATCCTTGGGAAGGAACGTGAGGCTCTGGGATAATCCGTTGCCGGAAGCCAGGAATCCTGGCTAAGATTGAACTACGCATTCCATTTCAACGGCCTTAATCAGATTCCTCCCTGAAACGGATTATTCCAGAGCCTCACGTTCCTTCCCGAGGATCGCAGGCTCGGGGAACGAGATTGAATCCGAAGTTAATCCAGTCTCAGACCTGAATCAAAATTAATTATGATTTAGGAGTATGGTGAGTATGCAGTCCTCGCTTCCTCTCAGACACCAAACAAACTGCTCAGACGTAAAGTCTCCCTCAATCTTCCTTTTCGGATTTTAAATATTAAATTTGAGTTCCTTTTCTCTTTGCATTGGTCGAGAGCTATGAGAGTTGATTGATCAGAACTGGAATGACCTCATTTCATTGACGTAATATGTTAATTATAAGCTATTATTATTTCCTTGAAATATTAATTTTAATTTTACATGAATATACTACAAATTACCGGCAATAGACAGTGTAAGTGTGTAACATATTTAGTTTAAACATATTTAGTGATCGATCTGATCAGCAACCGTTCCAAAGGACACCTGATCCAATCGCTTCAGGTGCCATGGAGAAGCGCTCAGAAAAACTACAGTTTAACCCAACTACAGGTAAACTAACAGTAAGAAGGCTACCAATGAAAAACTGTGATAATGTCATTTATTCAAGTACTGAGGCACCGAGCTTCTTCGGAGGTAACTTCGCCGCACCACTCGAGAAAGACAAGCTTGTGATATTGCCTCCGACTTATCGTAAGAAAACAGTTTCCGTCGAAACCATGCATATTTCCTGTCAATCTGACACGTATGAACCAAACCACAACTATGGTGGAGTGGTGATTTATCAATACAACGACAAGTCAGAATGGCGAACTGCGAACAACACTCACTGTAAAACTGGCTATATCGTCATTCAAGACACAGATTCAGAAAATGTTAAGAAGTGGATTGGTATAGAGCCTGGCGCTGTTCACGGAGCTGTCTATAGAAATGCTTTCGGTGAATCTGTGAACGACGCGGAAGTCGTTGGCGAAGGTTTTGCGATACGAAATGATAAATTGGTTGAAACGTTTGAAATTAATTCAAGCGTTTTCAACAACCCAGAATGCAGTGTATTCCATGATCATCGTAGAAGGATGCATGAATTGTCAGAGCATTGCGTCAAAAAGGTTGCGAGGTGTTGGAAGACTGCAGGTCCTTGCTGGCTCAGACAGAACAATTTTGAAGTAAAACAGTTGCTTAAAGATTTTGACCATGATTAACTCCAAGACTATCTAAACACTATCTAAATGTAGCGAAACCTATTTTATTTTAAGAAGTTTAGGACGGACGACGCAAACGAAATGATGACGGATATAGTGCAGCTACGAACGCTTTTTACCCCGAAATGTATAGTATGTAACTAGTAACCTTATACTTTCTATTAAACAGTGCAAAATGAAATGAAAGATTGTGTTTGAAAAAATAATTCCATTTACACACAAAATCTAAATGTTCATAGAAATTATATATGCACGATTTTCATTGATTTGTAGTTTTGATTAGTGGTGATCCGAGGTTAAATACAACCCATTGTTTTCGTTCATACGTGTTTCTGCACGTCTGTTTGAACTTTACCAAACAACCCAAAAATTTGTATAAATAAATATTGCATAATTCTTGATGGACCAATCAAGAATCATTCCAACCTTTGTTGAAAACCCACGAGACCATACAAAGAACATTTAAGCTTGTGAAATCACATGCAGAATATAGTTAGTCTACCATGAAGAATGTTTACCCATTTACCGCGGTAAACTATAACTGCAACAGTCAGAATTGCAAAAAGTGTTCAACCTTCCTAAGTAAGGTTTCAAGATTTCAAACATTCTCAAAATAACGTGAACTATGGCTTTTTTTCACGTTGCAACTGATACACAAATTTTGTCATTCAAAAATCGGCTTCTTACTCCGATTAACATTGATCAGCTGGTTGATTGCATCATACTCGCATACAGACCAAACAGTACGGACCGGCGACTGCTAGCAGATGTATCTGTTACGATTGCTACAGAAACGCCTGTCCCAAGAGAGCTTCTATAATACTGCCAGCGTTCGGAAATGTCACGCTATACTACATACCAGCACAACAGTCCAGTATCATTTATGTTTTATGGTTAAAGTGTTCCGATTCTGAAGATGACATTATATTATATGTTGCATTTGTTTATTTATATGTATTTGTAAATCATTTATTAAAACACAAAACAATAGACATTCCAAAAATTGTAAACATTTTCATTCTTCACGTTTCGATTATTAATTTAATCAAGTCATCTTCAGAATTCGAACACTAACACCATGAAATAAATAAATGATACTTCACTGTTGTGTTGGAAGTTATGTAGTAGCGTGACATTTCCGAATGCTGGTAGTATCATATATAGAAGCTCTCTTGGGACTGGCGATTCACGACGCGGCTAGTGAAGACGCATTAGAAAGTCTTGGTAACTAGCGCGGCCAACGCCGTCTTGTGCAATTAGCCATTTCCCAAATTCCTTGGTCTATAGTCTATAGTCGCGCAAATCCCTTTTCGAAGGGACAAGAAATGAAATATGGCAGCACACATTTAAATTAAAAGTTTAATCTAAAAAGGACATATTTCATTTTTGGTCGTGCAAAAAGTTGATATTTGATAGTAGATACTTCTACTCTTTCACATATTTGACGCCTGTCTCCATATATTTTGTCCCTCCAAACGATCCCAGAATGCACTGTCTGTAATCTTTTTTTTGGAAAAGGCTAATTCCAATGAGTCGACGACTCTACGACGGAATTTTGTCAATTTCACATTGTGATCACTACGTTGCGAATTTCAAGTGATTGAAACAAAATTGAACGATTAAATTAAACACCACAGAAAATGTAATCAAAGGTATTACAACAGCAGAAGTTCATTTTCTATTTAAATTCGCTCTTTCAAAAATTTTAATATAGATTTTGAAAAACCTATAATTTTCCCCCCAAATAAACGTATTACGCTAGCGCGTTGTGTTTCGTAACGCAAGGAACAGAATAAGATGAGGCGGTTTGGGCCGCGCTAGTTACCAAGCCTTTCTAACGCGTCTTCTCTCGCCACGTCGTGAATCGTAAACTCTCTAATATCATTAACGAAACGAACGTTACGTAAAATCATAAACGTGAATAGTCCATATATTTAGAATCATTTAATAACTACGTAATTCTATATCTATATTTACATATGGTATATATCTCATGGTAAATATTCATTCAAAAATAGCTGCAATATTCAACTACTAAGTTTGAAATTTGTGCTCCCATTAAGCTTTGCGCGCTTAGAGTTTAAGACGTAAGGTTTAGATCGAGTTTAAGGTTTTTCAAATGACAATCTTTTTTGAATTGGCTGTATATATGGCAAAACCAAAAGGCAAGAATTTTTCAAATTTGGGAAATGAAACTATCTAAAATATATGTATTTATAATTCAATGACAACTTTGCTTGTACTATTGTCATGCATTTGTAACATAGAATATACGTGATGAGATTTTGAGACGGTTCACACGAATTGATAAATATGTAATAATATTTGTTTCCATTTATCTTTATTTAGTATGTTACTAATGCTTTGCATAAAAATGCACCATACAGGTCTTTGACAGTTCGTGATGCGATAGGAGACCTTCCATCATTGGCCAATAACAGAAAGGTAAGTTTGCACTATAGCTGGGATACACATTTTTTCCTATTTGTCCTATTCGCATTTTTTCCTATGAGAATTTCGTCAGGATATTTTGTTACATCAACAGGTTAAATATTGTGGTTGAACAAAAATAACAATAATAGACGCTTCACAACCAAATAGATTATAAAATAGAGGGGGAATAGCCGGACCTTATTTTATTACTCAAACAAAACGGATACAAATAGATGCTCCCCAAATGTTCTGGCTGGCAATGGAAACTACTTATTTGCTATGAATTACATTGCCTGCCTCCACTTCACATTATGTGGAAGTCCCGTATGTAAAATACTGGATGTAAAATCGTATTGGCTGCATTTGTAATCTCCTCAGCAACACCGCCTTAATAAAACTACGAAATAGTAAAAGAATAATCGTGAAAGACATAGAAACAACAGCAAAAAAAATTAAAACGCAATAAAATATACATCTTACATTCTCAAGCATTAAATCTAGAATTAAAATGGGTGAAACAGAAATAGCTTGTCAATTGAATTGGAGTGTGGTTGTTCATTTTGGCAGGCTTTAAGCTTTGTTCATATTGATTGTTGTTTCCCAGGTAATCACAGAAGTTGCTAAGACTTTCTGGGACTTGCATTCGCTCTGTCACTAGGAAGAATCATTACTATATATGCCCACTGTAATCCGGCTGCCCACTGGGATTTGTCTTTAGTCTTCATTATTACTACACAGGACAATTTTTATAGATAGAAAACATACTCCAGCTGCGTGTGCCTGTCAAAATTGTACCTGTCGCGCAAGCATATTTCGTTCAGTAATAAATTTACGCGGTGTTTCCACAAACAAAACTATTATATGTTTTATCGCCATGCAAACGTACAAAGAACTTATATTTCGTTCAGTTTGACGAATTATTCTTCGCGTTGTCCTCAGTGCTGGAAAATAGCAGCGCCAGGAAATATTTAACAAAATATCTTCGCAGGAAATTTCTTACACCTTGCAGGAAATTTTTGTCATCTCGTCTGCTGGAATGGCATATCATTTATACTTATTGTTTACAAAGGCCATTTGCAAGTCGAGATTGTCTTGTGCCGAGATTGAAGTTGATCACATTGTGCAGCACCAATGAAGTTTCCTATTTGACTTATACACTGGGAATTTCTGTTTTTGAATTTTGCTACCAGGAAGACAAATATATTTTCTAGGCCTGGTTGTCCTGCCACTCTTGGTCTTTGGACGCATGGCTCAAATTTGTGTAGCACGTTTGCAGTCTGTATTTTATAAGCTCACATCTACTTTATCCGTGTATGAACTCGATCTAGTGACATTGCAAATACTATATTTCCCAACGGTAATAATTATGTAGTCTTGTGAGTTCTGGCAATGTAAAATGTACGCTTTAAACTTTAATTTGTACATCTTCAACGTAATTCCAACGGTAATTCCAACGCTATCTATTCGATCATTCTTTTATTCTTTCACTGACGGTTCTGTTGATATATTCATGCAACTTTGTTTCATGCAACGTGTAATGCGAATGGAGTGTCCTGGCACAACAATGTTTGAACATTCTAATGTACATCGAATTGTGACATGTTCTTTTACATCGATATTTTGTGGTCATTACCTCACTGCGGGACGTAGGTGAATAGTCCATACTTTTACAATCTCGTTTCCCGAGCCTGCGATCCTCGGGAAGGAACGCGACGCTCTGGGATAATCCGTTTCAGGGAGGAATCTGATTGGCCGTTGAAATGAATGCGTAGTTCAATCTTAGCCAGGATTCCTGGCTTCCGGCAACGGATTATCCCAGAACCTGGCGTTCTTCCCGAGGATCGCAGGCTCGGGGAACGAGATTGATACTTTTAGAATCGTTTAATAACTACGTAATTCTATATCTATGTTTACATAATTTTCTACATCTGTCAATCTAACCGTGCACTCTGTACTTAGGTCGCTATTATATGCATCAAATTTGACATTTATAACTGCATATCAGCTCGATTGCGTCCTTGGCTGCAGCAACTATTTCATGCCTACATTGGGTTATGCGTTTTCACTTGGTTTTTCATTTTCCAGTTCGAATTTTATCGGTTCTCCGACGCCCGGTGTCCGAGGAGTGTCATGGTCTCCCCGTTTTGGTTTTCAATAACTTAATTTATAGGCAATTTATTGTGAATACAGTCTTTTGATCGTTTCTTTTCTACCTCACGAGTATAGACCATACTTAGTCTTTCTGTTAGCTACATTTATCTAACTTGTTCTTCTTTTAGTGAGTTTGTTCTTACTTATTCCTGCATGGTGGTGTTTCTTCACGATGTCAATGTGTTTTCATATACATTGTTTCTTTTATATTACCTTCTTTTTAAATTCGTCGGTGTGACCATGTTAATGTTTTATGATTGCATGTAATTTAATTATAATTCTTTGTTGGCTGGTTTACTCAACTCATCGTAGCCATGCAGAATCTGCAATACCTCCATACTGTCTTAAAGCTTACACTTAGAAGTTTGCTAAAATTGGGTTACCATGCTGGTATAATGATCAAGTACCTTATAACTGCTAGCACATACAAAGCCAAATTGAGATTTTGTATTAATTAGCCCTGTAGCCAATGCAATCACTATAATCGAAAACATACTCTACAGCAATGTATATTGTAAAAGATAGCAAATTTTTTAAAATTAAGAGAAAGACAGAAACCGAACAAGGTCGGTTCCAGAGCAGGGTGAGGTTGACCTTCTTGTCGGTGGTCCTCTTTGTCAAGGGTATAGCGGTCTGAATCTGTACCGAAAAGGGGAGAATTCTGTATTAGAGGTAAGAGCGTTAGTTGTTATTTACTCCTCCGAAAAAGTATGTCACCTTGTAAAAGAGCCTCGTTTTCACGTTTGATGCGTTAGATAGGCATGCTATTTTATTTAGGTAAATCATAATAAACTATGCATATTTAAATATTATACATGATTTTACTGATGTTAAATCTTCACTACGAGCGTAAAATAACACTTTTGGCCTCATTAATTACTGCCTTAGTCAGCATGCATGGCATGCTACCCGTAAGATTTTTTGAGTTCCCAGATAGCAAGCTTTCTGAGCTTTTGTGATTTTTATCGTCCCAAACGGTTGATAATGGAAAACGTCAGAAATTTCCTATCGTACGAGAACAGCGTGGTCTTAAAGCTGACACTTAGAAGATTGCTAAAATTGGGTTACCAGGTAATGATAAACAACTGTTAGCACATACCAGAGCCAAAAAACATATTTCTTGTTTGGATTTAGTGCACGTTTGGTGTTCTTCAGTGTGGGAATTATGGTATCCTCCAAAGCAGACATCGTGCTTTCGTCATTGGTGCAGCATCAGGACATACTTTGCCAATGTTTCCAGAACCTACACATTGTTTTTCTTCATTTCTCTCCGTCGCTGTCGATAATAAAAAGGTATAAAACTTTTTTCTTCTCAAACAATTCACGCCATTAAACCAAAAATAGATAATCAAAACATCATTTCATGCCTCGTACTCGTGGGTATTCAACAATATGGTTTTGTATATCTAAATAAAAGCTTGGCGAACGTTTGTGTTTAAGGTATAGAAGACTCTGAAAATGCCATTTCCAACGATCTAGAGACTCCATATTTTCAAAAAGTTTCGCTCGGCGCCTCGTAAGCCCCCCAAAGCAAAATCTCACGGATGTTTTTTTCCAAAGGTATGAGAGCTAAACGTATGACGACGACCACGCTCGTTTCGAGCAGCAAGAGGACTATTATGAGGCGGATAATAAACAGGATAAATGTATTAGTTGCATCAGACTGAGAAGAAAAGAGGAGGTAATAATACGGGTCAGTGTAATAGTAAAACGATTCAATTTTGAAGTTCTAAATTTGTATATGTCTTGATAATGATATGATATGAAAGGCTTATGTTAGCATGATGTAGCTTGTATGAAATTTATAGCCTTGCAGTGCAAATAGTTTTTTCAAAATTGCCAAATTATGTCATACATACACGGGTCAGTGTAATAGTGTAATAGTAAAATATTCAATTTTGAAGTTCTAAATTTGTATATGTCTTGATAATGATAGGAAAGGCTTATGTTAGCATGATGTAGCTTGTATGAAATTTATAGCCTTGTAGTGCAAATAGTTTTTTCAAAATTTCCAAATTATGTCATACCGACACGGGTCAGTGTAACAGTAAAATGATTCAATTTTGAAGTTCTAAATTTGTATATGTCTTGATAATAATAGGAAAGGCTTATGTTAGCATGATGTAGTTAGTTTTTTCGTTAGCCCTTCGGGGAAAGATTTTTTCAAACGACTCCAAACTTGGCCTAGGGGTGCCCTATATACCAAAATATATATGCGAAGGGCCTTCGCTCGAAACGTCGAGTTTCTGCTTATTGTTTAAGGTAGAAATATAACCACTCAGCACACCATTTTGATCTGAGATATAGATCAGAATAACATTATTTACCCACAGCCTTTCTTTACATAGGAGATAAGAAGATTGAGGCAATGCCCGTTGTGCCCCAAGGTGTATAAATATTTAACAGAACATCTGAAAACAGTACACGGAAAGACCCCCAAGGAAGCTGTTCATATCTCAAGGCAGCATCGGGCTGTTCAAGTTGGATTGACATAAAAAAGGAAGCCGGTTCCCTGCCCAGTCGAGGGTTGCGGTATTCAAGTGGCAAGAGTGGACCTTCATTTGTTTTTTTCAAAATTGCCAAATTATTTCATACCGACACGAGTCAGTGTAATAGTAAAATGATTCTATTTTCAAGTTCTAAATTTGTATATGTCTTGATAATAATAGGAAAGGCTTACGTTAGCATGATGTAGCTTGTATGAAATGTATATATAGCCTTGTAGTGCAAATAGTTTTTTCAAAATTGCCAAATTATTTCATACCTACATGGGTTAGTGTAATAGTAAAATGATTCAATTTTCAAGTTCTAAATTTGTATATGTCTTGATAATGATATATATCAGTACCTACCATAAATTAGCATGATGTAGCTTGTATGAAATGTCTATCCTTGCAGTGCAAATAGTTTTTTCGTTAGCCCTTCGGGGAAAGATTTTTTCAAACGACTCCAAACTTGGTGGGGGGCGGTGCCTAGGGGTGCCCTATATACCTCATAGGTTTGGGAACCAACCCCCTTAAGGTGGTTTCAGCCTCTCTTTACATAGGAGATAAGACGGTTGAGGCAATGCCCGTTGTGCCCGCGGATGTTCAAGTATCTCACGGAGCATTTGAAAACCATGCACGGCATGACCGCCAAAGAAGCTGTGCATCTGTCAAGGCAACATCGCGCAGTGCAAGCTGGTGTTGTGCAAAAGCGAAAGCCGTTTCCCTGCCATGTGGAGGGTTGCGACGTTCATGCCGCTCGTGTGGCCCTTCATTTGAGAAGGGTCCACAAGTTGAACAAAGAAGACCCCGAATTCCGAAGGTTAGCTGGTTGAAAAAAATTTTATTTCCTGAAGTACATCCCCCTAACCGAAAACAGTAACTCATTCCTACCCCCAAAACACTCATTCCTTCTACTCTTTTGTCAGGTACAACGAACAAGTGGCAAATTCTAGAGCGCAAGAGAAGCACGCGGAACTGCTTGCAGCCAAAAAGGCACAGCGAAAAGAAAAAGGAAAAGTCATCAAAGCAACGTTCTACTAGTACCCCCCCCCCCTGCTGACCCATCAATACATGGGGAAGATGTGAGCAAATTGCATGAACTGGAATCCGATTCCTCAGAATCAGAGGACATACCCACTACCCCGCTGGGCGTGATGTTAGCTGAACCGAGAGCCCCAAAAGACGACCCCGACAAGGACACGTGTAAAGCTTTCGAGAGCCTCCCTGTCCTTCAATTGTTTAAGCATCATTTGAAGGACTTTGAGGAGGGGCTCTCGAAAGGCTCAAGTGGCCAAAGATCACACGAGGCGGGTGTGTCGACTTTTATTCGAAATCAAAAGTTAGCCAAGTGAGGTAAAACCTCTTTGGGACAGCAACAACATTAACCTTCTCAAAAACAATTTCTTCAAGGGCAATGACTTACTGGGAGAAGAGGAGAAGCGACAGCCTACAACGCTAAAGGCGTATATAGGATCACTGCGCCTCTTCTTCCAGTTTGTTATTGCCCGGCAAGAAGAAATTAGGAAGTTGGAAGACTTCAGCGATGCAGATCTGCGATTAGTGAATTCTGCTATGGCCAGGTTGGAGACCTGGCCAAAGGCGTTGGCAGACGCCATGAACAAACGCAAAGCAGATATCCGTCTGCGGGACGTTGATGAAAAGCTGCAACCCGAGGACTACGAGGCCTTCTTTGACAGCCCAAGGGCTAATGAAATCAAGAGGATGTTCTTAACCATTCAAAACCAGGACGATCCCATAGTCAGCGTCAACGACTTTACGGCCATGCGCGATTATTTGCTGCTGCGAGTTTTGGTCGCCAGCGGTGCGGGGCCGCATCTAATCTAACAATATTCGAATACCAAAATGGAACCGTATCAGGCGCAGAGAACGTATTTGTCACCCGAACCCTTCGCCACAAAACGGCGGCCGGAGGGCCGGCCAAATTATTTTGGGATCAGGAAATCAAGCCGTATGCAGATACGTATCTAAACAAACTGCGTGGGAAATACGAAACGGAGAGTTCCGTGGCACCAGCGGCGCTGGGAATTCCCGCCCTGCCGTTATTCTTCATCTCCACCAAGGGCAATCCGCTTGACGAGTCTCGAGCAAGTAATCGCCTTGCGCAGATGGGTAAGCAGGTGGCCCCTCAGCTAAAGGGGACACTGAAGAGTTCCCGTCTGCGCAAGGGCCTCGTTAGCTTGCAGCGAGGCGAGACCTCTGCTGCTGGGTCGAGGGCCCAGCTGGCCAAGCAGATGGGCCATTCTGTGGAAACGGCCGAGCGCTATTACAACCTGCAAGAGGAACAAGCTGATGCGAACGTCCACAGCGTCATTGACAGGTTGACACACGGTAATGTGCCACTAACTGACCCCCGACTATCCCCTTTACCCGAGGAGGTCGAAGGTGGTCTACATCAAGTCGGTGGAGAGGAAGTCGGGGGTGGAGAGGTAGTCCCCGACAGCGACTCCGACGATGATCTTTCATTTCTGGAAAGAAATGAAATTAAAAGGGTGTTCGGGCACCTCCTCGAGCCAGACAGAATGATCCTTAAACCAAAGGTGCAAGTCAGAAAGTCTAAGAACAATGTCATTAAAGACTTGAAGACCAGCACCATCATCCGTTTTCTGGAAATGGAGAAGGAGAAAGTCGTAAGACCAGACGTACCGAAGCTACAGAAAGAGAAAGCAGATTTGGACCTGCCAGCCCCTACGAGCTCCACGAGAGACACTCGTTTATTCACGCCTTTGGAGACTAATTTAATAATGGCAGTTATGAACACACTTGCACCGAAAGCCAGTGGCAAAGAATGCCTTCGTGCTATCAGCAATGACGCGAATTGAAATATAATTTTCAGCTCTTTCCACAAACCGGAAGTGGACTTAATTGTTATCCGACTGGCGGATTTGGAGTTATTTGCTCCAGTACATGCTCTTTTAAGTTACTGGCAAGTGATACGGAAGCCCTACGCCACAGCTACGCCTTATACTAACTTTTTAGTTAATATATGTTAAAAATAGGTTCTTCGTGGTGAAAACGCGTCCACAATGATTTTTTTGGGGAAAAAACCTTGTACGCGTTTTCACCATCAAGAACCTATTTTTCTTTCAAGATATTTTATCACGAAATGCGCAGGGGGTCTATAATAGATATGTAATCTTCAGAAATAAGTTTTATTTCCGGCAAGTGGATTAATCGAATAATTTGACCTAGCACCCCCGGTTTAAATTTTTTTTGGTCAGCGGTTGTGGGAGTAATGAATCCATCTCTGGGCTCATACTTACTAAATTTGAAAAGAATCGATAAAATTCCAAGGTTACAATTAACAGAAAACCTCTTTTCTCATAACGCATCAAAACGAGGCTGTTTTTTGTCCGAATTTCTGTTCAAGTCTACTTTGCGGCCTTGTGCGACTTGGGATGTCCAGAAAAAATTCGGACACATGTCTTTCCCAGCGAGGAAACGCCCTTCCAAAATGGCGTATTTTCACACTAGGGACGCGTTTTCATTTATTAAGATATTTTATCCCATATCTATTAAGATATTTTATCCCAACATGCGCCGGGGGGG